ATAATGTCACAAACATTCCTTAAAAATATAATTGTTTCGAACCATTCAAGTTGATCATTTACTAGAAATAAGTAAATGAGATAATCGAAACTGCCAAATATATTTTGATTTGCCACCAGACTTTTCTAGTTTCTCTAATTATTACTCTGCCTTGAATTAACATCAAATACATGTTATCATTGTTGTCAGTGAACTGCACTACACTGTGTCAATGAACTATACATAACAGCAGTTTTAATATTACTATTCAGAATGTTACATTTCCCGAATAAATGCTAGACATAGTGGGTGTATTTTGTTAATACTATTCACTTGCATCGTTTGATTTGTATAACACAAGCTGTAGAAATTACTCACTCGAAATCTGAGTTGAAAGCCGACATTTTAAATTAGCCATAATTCATTTGTTCTCGTGTTTATCCTAAACATTTATATTGCTCGACTGTGTTCGTGATTTGGGTGCCCTTTCTATGGTCACATTTTTAAATCATAAGACATTGCAGTCATCAATCGTACTGGGCCACATGTGGGTACCACTTGTCGTAACATGAACAAATACATGATTTAGTTTTGACCAATACGTCCACATTAGCAGACGGTTCTACGTTATTATGACATGATACGTTTCTATTTAGAGTTGTGTTTTAATTGGAGTTTAAGCTCAGGTTTTAATAAAGGGGAGAGGTATGCTAAATATAAATTGAATTCGATTAAATATTAATATAAATTATGAAAATAGTGAGGGTCGTCACAATGTAGGTCCTATCGTCACAAGTCGCCGTAAAGTTAAATTTAAGTCGTCACAACGTTGGGGGGGGGGGGGCACACACACATACCTTAGTATGACATAATACCGTAAACATAGTTATCATTATAAAGTATATATCAATTTGAGCCTTGAATATTTAGTTTAACTTCTATCACTTCTATAAAATGTTCCTATTTCGGCTAACATAAATTATTGTGTTATTGCATGCCACAAGTGAAATTTTGTTATGGTAGTATCTCGCAGCTAAGAATCAAAATAAACTTGAATACACTAATTGCTAATCTAATTGCTCCCCCAACAATTGTCTCATTCCTACCCTTCACATTCACTTCTGTCCCTACATTGTAATCATAAATGTAAAGCTACTAGCAAGATTGTTAGTGATTTCTGATGCAGCCTTAATAATTGTCAAGAGGTCACTGCACCAGTTTGCATAAACTGGACAGAAAATTGCGATGAGACTAGTGTGAACAAATTAATGCCAAATAATGCAGATATTCCAACTTGTTTGGGTTCTTGAAACCAATCCAGAAATTACAATCATAGTATCTCGTAGTTGTAGAACGTAGTAGTAGTGTGGTTTGAATACATGAATCAGACAATATAATACTTTTCACGGTCAAACTAACCGATTTTATTGGGGTAATAATACATACGAGGGCATGAAGTGACTAGTGGCCTATCTCTGTTGTAAATACGCTATTTAAAATTAATTACGATCCGCAAAGACTACATGCGTTTGGACCAAGACCGAAATATGCGAAACAAACATACGGAACAACTATGCGCCTATTCTAATGTGTTTGTGGGACCTGTCACTAACCAGTCTCTTGACGCAAAGTCCGACGTTCCAATATGTGGTCACACAGAGTGTTACTCCTCACTGTAGTTTTCCGTCATCGGCAGTCCCGGTACATGTAGTCGTCTGACACCAAGGCAGATGTTTTAAACTGTGGAGAGTCAATCTTCAATGTAGTCTTCGTCTTTACCGGCGAACAACCAACATCCAATAGCACACACTTCGTCACGTTCATCCCTGAAACCCCGTGCTGCATGGAAGGAACCCCAGTAGTAAACGACAGCCACGAGGCTTGATTTAGACCCCCTTTCATAGACTCGTCCATCAGGCCAGACTATTTCACCGTCTTTGATTGGTGGATCACCGAGCATTCTCCTAGACCCCACTGCACAGCTGTATCTCAAACAAAGGACATAGTTATGCCAAACAATAACATGGCAGAATTGTTCACGCATACAAGGTGACGTCCTACCAGTGCAGCTGTCAAGGTGAATTCGTCGCTTCCGAACAGTTAACATGCACAGACTTTCACCAAGCTGTGTTAAATAAAAATCGAGATCGAAAGTGTTGCACTATCACTATGGTAACCAGATCCTGTTGAAGCACTGCAGAAATATCACCCGTCCAACGTGCTACCCGACACACGATGTAGACACACAGGGTTTGGTACACCGGCTATTATTAGTCCCAGTGAGTGTGAATATATGTATTTAACACTAAGCTAAATTGAATTGCGCATAGTCTCCCATTGAAAGCTAATTACGTGTGTATTTAGACTATCTAGGATTTATTCAAACTCGTACCACACAACTAAACTGTACAAAAAAATGCACACTTTGACAATAATTAACAATCCAATCATAGAATTGTCATGAATTTGTTTTTGCGTATCTGTTGACCGACTTAATTAGCTGATTATTAGCGAATTGCTGTGTTATGTCTGTCATCGTTTAGGCCTATTTGAAGTTTTGGACGGAACTTGGCTCAGTGATTTGGAACTAATTACCAGATAACCGCCGCTATTCAGACTACTCATTCTGACAGTTGGTATTCATAGTTATTAATGTAGTGAACGATTAATCAAAAGATATGACGTATTCAGTGCTTAGTGTGATTGGCTTTATGATTGAAGGTTACGCCTTAGAGTCTTTTTACTGTTTTGTAATTGGTTAGAGTTTTGAAAATGAATAAAGAGAGTTTGAGTTGGTCTTGGGGAGCACAGCACGATAGACGAGTCAAGGGCAGTCCTGGAGAGACGAGAGTCCAGTCCAGGGGCGAGCCTTGAGGCAGTCCAGTCTTGGGCGAGTCTTGGTTCAGCCTTGCGATAGTCTTGGGGATTTTTCCCCAGGGCTCTGTGTCTTATAGAGTGCTCGATTGACCGACTAAGGCGAGAGCTGAAACGTATTTCGTTGTGTGTGCCTTATTTGACTGTAAAGTATAAGTGGCTTTCCCGATCCCATACCTCAAGGGGACGAGATATAGAGACGAGACGAGATTCTCCCCTGACAAGTGAGGAGAAACCCCCAGGGAGAAGAATTTCCCCCTGATAGAATCTTAGAACTGCGTATTGACTGACCTAATTCTATCTTGTAGATATACTTAGATTCAACTGGCCGTTATCTCACATTGTAGTCTAACACATTATACTTGCATGCGAAAGTAGTATACGCTAATTTTCTTCATTTTATCATCAAATAAAAATTAGTTATATATTTTACTTACTGGTATTTGTCAAAGCTTTTTTTTATTGTGGGGGCGAAGATTTTATGTGAATGTCAACAAATCGAGCGCCGAAGGCCCGTGGGGTCGCGCGACAATTCTTCAGGGGTCCGGCATGCTCCCCCGTAAAAATGTTGAAATCTAGACCCTCTGAAACGCTGTTTCCTGCATTTTTGGAAGCAAATTTTGATGGTAAACTATAGGTATATTTCTCTTACAAATATAGATGAGCGTTTCACCTTATTTTATCGACCTATTTTTCGTGGGCGCCACGGTGCCGCCGCCATTGTATAATTTCTTTATGTTTCAGTTCACAATCACGTTTATATTTTTAATTGATTCTACAATATTTTTGTTTACGAGAAGTTCATTCATGAGTGGTACCCAAAGTGGAATGTGGTATAGTCATACTCATAATTTCTTACTAATTGCACGACACTTTGAATTGCTATTTTATTCATTTGTTTGGTAATTTGGTCAACTGAAAGTTATTTTTTATGGTTCCTACTCGTTTGTAAGATACACTTTCACCTATTTTACTTAAATTTGGTAGAAGGTCAAGACATACAAGTTTGACAATCCTCACCATTTGGGTTTTTCTCTTCAATGAAATGAAACCGCCAAACATTTTGGTTCAAACATGTTCTCAACTATTCTCAAGAATTTCTCATCGACTTTATTCGAACCTGGTATGAAAAAAAAATACACATGGTACGTTACTGATTATTTTTTTATTTGATTCGAAATCACCAGCCACCATGTTGGGTTCATTTTCAAGTATCCTCACCGATTTTACTGTAACTATTGTTACCTATTGTGTTTCCAGTTCACAGACAGACCAAAATATATAGAGTTGTTTTGCAGTTATGTTGTGTTATTTTTCGAACACCTCATTTACTTTTCTAGATATAAAAGAAGTCTGTTTTATTGTCAATGATCTTTTTTTAACTGGAAATTCATTAATTGTTTTCATCGTTCATTCGTTTGTAGGCGAGTCACTCGCTGGTTTGATTATGTATTTACAACTCCTTTGTAACTCTGTTTTGAGCTTCGCTGTTTACAAAATCGAAATACAGCGCTATTCACAAATGTATTCACCTTTCAGACCGTTTGACACTATAGGTAGCAGTAATAGTTCAAGTGAAACTCAACTCCATTTGATCTATTATACTTTTTTATCTCATTCTAACACCAGGCCTTTTTTCTAGTCTTTTACACATATACACAGCATTTTTTTAAAATTAAACATTTATAGGAATGTTTTATAAATCAGTGGATTTAATATATGCATGTATATTTCACGAAACTGTTTTTCATGTCGACATCTTTTGGCGATGCGTTTAACTAGCTGTCATCGAGTTTGCCCGATATAATTGACACTTGATATGTAGACACTTTAGTGAACAGCTGTCAGATATGTAAATTTATTGACAATGTTATCTATTATAAATGTTTAAAAAAATACAAGCCAAATTGAATTGATACCTGATATGTCAGATTTGTTTCTGCAATATTGACACAACTCCCAAGGGTTGTTTGCTTTGTATATTCACATCGACACATTGGTTAATTTATTCTCTGTGTCCAATTGGTAAATCAGCGAATTTTGTTACTTTGATACGAATTAAAAAAAAAATATAATTTTTAAAAAATTATATTTATATGTCGATTTTAAACTTTCTTTTCGTGTGGTACATGAGTAAAACACCATTCTGCCCTTTTAAAATCCCTTTATTGAACCGACAACGAGAGTAAATTTCATATTATACACCCAACAACCAAACCCACGAATTTAACTTAATCTGCGTTTCGATGACACTAAGCTTGGTTTATAATATTCATATACTACGACCAGTTACTATCTGTCATCATCAGTGATGTGTAGATTAACATCTGCAAAATATGAAACACATTTTAATTCATCACTCGTCCGATCGCTCATTATGATACTCTTATAATAAACACTTTTTGGGATTCATACTTACTGTTTGCCAGGAACTTTCCAGCTCTCTCCAAACTCAATAGCATCTTTTACAATGACACCATCGGGTCTCTGGAAGTCATTTTTGGCATCACCATCAGCATTACCAAGTAAACCACACATCTTTCCGCGATAATAATCACCAGTGAATTCGATATTGAAATCGTGTTTCCTCCCAGTCCAGAATATCTTGAAAGTTGTGTCCTTGAGCTTGAAAGTCAGTAATGCCATGTCGCTTTTGTGTACGATGTTTATATTTTATATGGCTGCCTTAATTTCAGCTTCAGTCAATGTTCTATTGTAAATTTGTATACACGTTATGGAACCATTAAACCATTCTTGAGGAAGAAGTGCAGCGCCGGCTTGTGCATCATATTGAGTTGCTATTTCTCCTTCAAAGGGTGCCGATTCCAAATTCCCATTGAGATACAAGTGTCCCATGCCATTCTCATAATCGTAGACAACAGCCAGATGATACCATGTATTCAAAGCAGGTATTTCTTTTTCTAATGGTGTCACCGGTGGAATTCCATCTCGTTTGGTAAATTTAACGCTTGCAGACAACCCCGATGGTGCCCCGCCAGTTATCACTTGCGATATTTGAACACCCTTATCATTTAAAGTTGGATCGAAGTAAAAAATAGGAACTGGATTACCATATGGACAAACCCACGCCATGGTGGTGGTTGACCTTCGAGTGTCGAAATCATTACCATTGTTTGGAAAAACCAGATACGAGCTGGGGTTACCACGGAATTCATAAACGGTGCAACTTCGGTAAGTTTTGTATGTCAACGTTACATTGTTCCAAGGGTCAGTTGCATGATTTTGATTATCAGAGATGTCGTCAAGAAAATGTTTGTTATTCAGCGGCCAAAATGCTACAAGATCAGGCACTATTGAGAAACAAAATATTCGTTAACGTATATATAAACACTTCACATTTTAAAATACATATATGTAGGTTCTGTATTATAAGTCGTAGAATAAACATTGTAATTAACTGGGAGGTCTATCACTGACTTATATCTAGCGATTGCATAAAACCTTGTAATTAATCATAACCTTAAAAGATTTTAAATATCAAGAATGTTTTCCTTTCCAATGAGGTTTTACGACAGTACCGCATAGCCTTGACATTGTGACTTGACATTTGTTACACTTGATTCGGAATTTATGACTGATACGACAAACCCACATTTGTAAGCGAACAAAGTGTTCTTGTATATATACTCACGTGGATCATTTCGCTTTGAAAAAGTTGCCTGAAAAGTAATAGGTTTTTAATAAAACATACCAGGAGAAATAAACAAGAGAACAAAGATGAATAATAAGGTACTTGTTAGAACAGTGTAGTACGATTGAAATAATGCATGTATTGTCCCATATTACAATTTCAGGTATTACAATTTCCATTTTGTATTTCACGTCCTAACAAATCCAATGACATGAAAGGAACAATCTAATACTATGATCAAGTGAGGGAAAACACGTTATTTACAAAACATATAATGTTTACTCACATCACCATGGCCTTCCACTGCAACGAATGTCGCAACTATCAGTATGAAACGGAGCATCTTCGTATTTGGAGAACTTCAACACGAGCTTCATCAAAAGTTACAGGTAACATATACAATTGCGACTCTGACTCTTGTATATATGTTGTGGGTCTCTATTGTCATAAGTTTGATTGATGCGAGTGTATGTGTCTCACCTGTTTTGGAGATTATGCGTGGGTGTTTGTTGACGTGCGTGTGTCACAGGTCGAAAACCTGAAACTACTCTAATTTGTGCAATGGGTTGTGAAAAAAAACACGATGTAATTCTCCAATAACAACACAAAATCTGGCAAAGAGTTTAGTTGAAATCTGTAGTTTTTGTTGAATATTTTTGTTATTTATTTTACGTATTTTGTTAAATTTAGACAACGTTAACAAAATATCTTGCCATTTCAGCAATTGATTGATGCGGATGTATGTGTCTCACCTGTTTTAGAGATTATGCGTGGGCGTTTATTGACGAGGATGTGTCGAAGACATGGAACATTCTATCTTTGCGGATCACGCTGTGGGTTATGGGAAAATTACACGATGGCATTCTCCGGTCACAACTCAAAATCTGACACACTAGCTCGACAAAGAATATTGTTGATACCTGTCGTTTTGGCTACATTTATTGCTATTTTTCAATTTGTATTTCACATATTGTTTGTGTAGTTAACATTGACATAATATCTCGCAATTATACAATTATTTCTATCCAGTATCAGAAATTGCGAGATGATAAAAAAACAAAAAGAGAACTAAAGCTATTAGACAGTGTTTTTCTGATGTCCACTAACCACCTAACATACAACCATTTCAGTCTGACTCATGAAAGCATCCTTATGATGCTTTAAATGCTATTATTTCACTAACTGTAGGCAATGATTGAGCATTTCAAATATAATAACCGTCCAAGTCCAACAATGGAATGGTCACACGAACGCAATATTAACTGAAGTTATTGAGAACACTTAAATAATAAAACACAATTCACCAGAGTATGAGTTTCTTCACTAGCACCATTTAAAATATGGAAAAAATTTCAACATTGAGCTATATGGTAATAATAAACGGTAATCAAATTGGAATATACATACGCACATACACGACTCCCAAAGTTTAGTCAAAATCTCAAGCAGTTTAGCATATCACATAAAATAAAATAATTCATGTCATCATGTTGAAAAACATAGTGTGAAAACAGGATTGATAATGCCACTACAATGAAAACATATGGGGCCCCAGGAGTTGAGTCCTATTACCATGTGTTGTGATCAAGTGAACATTTCTCGTTCGATTGATTGGAACAAATAATTGAACAGCGAGATACCTACTACCTCCAGAGCGCCTTTTCTTACAGTGGCGAGGGACATGTACCGAGTTGTGAGTTGTTCGCATGTGCAAGTATGTGATGCGAAACCGAAACTGTGGTTAACATCATGCCCATAAGCACAGGAGCATTAATAATTAAAATACACCAAAACAAAACAAAACAAAACAAAACAAAACAAAACAAAATAAAATAACGGATGTTTTTTTTTCAAACCTTATATGCATAATGATGTCAATATATATTGTAAATTTTAGAGCTTGATCGCTGCCACTGTATCAACCCAAATCACCCACGGATGATGTGAATGACACGTGAGTATCCAAGGAAGGAACTGAAAATAATTGCATAGCAAAATCAATATAAGTTTCTCATTTTGGTAGAGGTGTTGATAAAATAACGTTTACATGAAGGACACTATTCACATAGGTACATGTAATATTGGAAAAAATTGACAATATTGAGAAGTGGGCAAAGCAGGCTTGGGATATTTAGGAAGTAAACAACTTCGGAAAAAATATTCCAATTCTAGTCGATGATGGACTGGCAAATATTTCTCAACTATAACAGGGCTGTAAATCGTGGAATGTTGTCTGGGTCCAGACTATTTGTAAAGTTAATAAAAATAAAAAAAATCAAAGATTCAAAAGTTGCTACTTCATCCAAACACGATGAACTGAATTCTGGATGTGCAGCTCATTGTCAGTTCTTTCGAAAAAAAACACATGAAATTCATGATTCATCTTCATTTTAGACAAGTTTTCCACCATAACCAAATACCCAAACATTTGTGGATAGTTTGGTTTGTGATCCCTATTGTAGGACTTCTGAATATCACTTTCTCTAACAATCTTATATACAGCACTATAACTAAAATCAAATCAAATTTCCTGCCATAGTAAGCTATATTCCAAGGTTGTTGCAAGATTGAGTGATTGTCTGGCTTAAAATAATTTATAGTCTGTGTAGTGTGAGCCCCTTTTTCTTGAGGTATTTCATAAATTTCATGAGCATGATCTTATCATCTCATATATTTTATGCTACCCACGCAACCAGTATTTGTTGTATGAGGTCTAACTCTAGAACATTTGATACCCCACCCCTGTTTAAGTGATGTTCAAGACTACACCACTAACTGTTATTCTACTGTTCAGTCACCATTTGTGATTTGTCATTTTGAGACTTTAAATGAATTCTCATCCTTGAAAACACGATTGAGGCTCTCTATCTCTCCTGATCAAGCTTGGTTGCTATGTTTTGTTTTAAAAACTACCACAATATTTAGATAACCGAGCAGAATAATGTGTTCCCCTGAAAAAAACAGTTCTTGTGTCACAGCGGAATGTCTTGGGTTGTCTCTTGATTAATGACCTTGCCGTATTTGGTTAATTTCATTTTTAAATCACTCACCATAATATTAATGGGTATAACAGCTTTTTATTAATTCTGATTTTAATTTATTTGATACAGAAAAATATGCACACAAGAAATCGCAGAAAACACTTCAAAGAAGCAACGGAACTTCTGAGTGAATTGACAGAGAGATACAAAATTGTTTTACAATACAGTAGTAATATTTCACTTTTTTTGAAACTTCATTTAAAAAAAATGTTTCTTTAGTGATAAAAAGTTGAGCCAATCTAAAATTAGTCGCCGTTTCGTGTCACAATGCTATTGATAAATAAAGCCTGTCTGAATGCTGTACTGATATTCTCCACAAATTTTGATTTGAAACAAAATCATTCATCCCAAATTTGTTTTGAATATTTAACAAGATAATATTTACATTGAAAAACAAGATTTCTGTTAACGGTCATGTTTTCTTGGTAATCTGACACATTTAATAAAATTAGTTACTGTGCAGCCTGCACAAAGCAGTTCACTATACAAATAGTGAAAATGAAATTAGAAGTACATCAGGATATTGCAGACAAAACAGCGGCTACAGGTAAAACACAGTTGCGAGCAAACGTTCAAGCAAATGTACCCCTAGAAACAGCACATATTGTATTGTTATTGTTGTTTCATAGTATTTTTGCTACGGACATACAAGAAACTGCTAAATTAAACGTTACACAAATCTGAAAATACACCTACTCAGCCAAATAACCATAAAGCAGTATTGTATTTTACAAACAATCACAGGACTGCCGTATATTTGACGGCCCTGACTATCCGAATATGGAACAGAAAACAAATACCTTTCATAATTTCGACGTAGTTTATAGCTCGCAAATAAGAAAACAACAATAGCGGTCAGGCGTTAAACAATTATACATCGCTGATTCAAGTGCCCAGGAAAGCAGAAATTAGCATACTAATTGCTGAATCAGTGGACAGAAATTCAGTTTGCGCAATGTATTCTGGGTAAAACGATGTAAAACAGTGTGATACATCATAAAAAGAATAATCTGAGAGAAATTAAAATTTTTGCCGAAACCAATAATTATCTACTTACAATGTTTAGATTACTAATATTTACTTTCAGTATTTTAGCACAGTGTTATTCTTGCTTTGTTAAATGCTGTAAATGAGTTTCCTTGTGTACTGTGCCAGCTGTAGCAATTATATTAAAGGTAAAACACAATAGTCTTACACCTATCTACTCGTATCATCATTTATGATGGCGTCTTTTGTCTGGTTATTATTGAACAGCCAGTAATATATCATAACTGAAGTATTATCATACCATTGTCAGTGATTGATTCATCTGCTTGTTGATGAACATCGCACTTTTTTGAAATTTTAAATACTTCCCTTCATTATTCATGTCTGGCTGACAAGCAAACATGGCTAATTTAGTCATGAAAAGATACTGACATCTATATGTAGAGCGGCGGCACGGAATTTTTCATGAGTGGGCGGGATCTGCTCACCAACCCACGCGCCAAAGGCTAGGGGGTCATGAGACATGGTCCCCTCAAATCTAGACCCTCTGAAACGCTATTTCCAGCATTTTGAGGGTTTCAGTGTAATTTTGGAGGGGCGACGCCCCTAAATTTTTTTTGAGGGAGCAACCGCCCCCTTTGTCCCTCCCCCGTGCCAATGCCAATGATATGGTGTATAATTAGAATAACAATAACGTACCAGAATGGAAATTTAATTCTGTTGTCAAGTGGGAAACCATTAATTTTTGTTTCTCTGAGCAATGACATACATTGTAAGACTTGTCTCAAAAGGCGTGCCATCATGCTGATTAGTATAGAAAGCTAAATTTCTTTTTCAATGTCGTTATCATAGTTTTAAGAAACACTCGTCAATGAATCTAATAAATATCCCTGTTCTTAAGTGAATTAGCAACTGATTCACCGAGTGCGTTAAAGAAGAACTTGTATATGTAGAAGGACTTACCAGTACTTTTCTACTTTGGTTCAACTAAAATTTTAGAAAATAAACTTAGGTTGATCCTTATAATTATGAATGTGACGTAAACCAACGTAAACTATTTTGTGTACCGACTAAATATTTCCGATCTTTGAGTAAGGTGCCGGAAAAAAATCACCATCATTCTGATATTATGTCATGAGACTCACAGTCGTTATGTGGTACAGCTTGTCTGTGCACCAACCTGATAATAATAAGACTACACCAAAACAATACCGGTGAGCGGGTGTTCAGTAATATAAACCCATTTTTTTTAAGCACAATTGCAGGTTTGTGTCGAAGATTACAATAATCTTTTGAATATGATTGACAGAAGTAGCATTATGTGATATTGTTTTTTTTTAGGTTTCAGTAACAT